AGGTGTGCAGGCTCAACCAGTTTAACTTGGTTTGTCCTGAACGAAGCTAACTCCAAGGCTCCTGCAAAACACTGTGGGAGAACAACTCATGACTTCTGTGTCAGAGACATTATCTTAAAAGGCAGATAGGAAGAAACACAGTGAGAGGTCAGTTATGGAAATTTATTGAAAGAATGAGCAAATTAAACAGGGAATAGATATTAACTGAAAAGACACCTGTTACATAAGCATCACCAGCTTTGTAATTAAGCATCCATACTTCTCAGTAAGTCCCTGTCCTTTTAGTCATCAGGCCCAGCAAAGTTACCTAATGTCTGTGTAAAATGAATGCAGCCTCAAGAACATTCATTGGGGAAAAGACACCTTCTTCAGTAAATGGTGCTGGGAAAGCTGGATATATCCAAGTGTAGAAAAATGAAACTAGACCCATACGTCTTGTCATATACCCAAATCAACTGAAAATGGATCAAATACTTAAGTATAAGACCTGAAACTATAAAACTCCTAGAAGAAAACATAGGGGGAACACTTCAGGATGTAGGATGGGCGAAGACTTTATGAGTAAGAACCCAAAAGCACAAGTAACAAAAGAAAAAATAAATAAATGGGATTATATCACACTAAAAAGCTTCTTTCTGCACAGCAAAAGAAACAATCAACAGAATGAAAAGACAACCTACTGAATGGGAGAAAATATTTGCAAACCATGCATCCAACGAGGGATTAATATCTAGAATATATGAGGAACTCAAACAACTTCACAGTAAAAAAACCCAAATAATCCAATTAAAACATGGGTAAAGGAGCTGAACAGATATTTCTCAAAGGAAGACATACAGATGGCCAACAGGTACATGAAAAAATGCTCAACATCACTCACTAATCATCAGGGAAATGCAAATCAAAACCACATTGAGGGCCGGCCCGGTGGTGCACTGGAGAGTGCGCCGCTTGGGAGTGCGGCGGCGCTCCCGCCGAGGGTTCGGATCCCATGTGGAGACCGGTTCCCGCTCACTGGCTGAGTGCGGTGCGGGCGCGACACCGAGGGTTGCGATCCCGTTACCGGTCAGTAAAAAAGACAAAAAGGAAAAAAAAAAACCACATTGAGATATCATCCACCCCAGTTAGACTGGCTAATATCAAAAAGAATAACAAATGCTGGCAAGGATGCAGAGAAAGGGAAACCCTCCTACACTGATGGTGGGACTGTAAACTAGTACAGCCATTATGGAAAACAGAATGGAGTTTTCTCAAACAACTACAGATAGAATCACCATATGATCCAGCAGTCCCACTTCTGGATATATACCCAAAGGAATGGAAATCATCCTGTAGAAGGGACACCTGCACTCCCACGTTCATCATAGCTCTATTTACAATAGCCAAGATCTGGAACCAACCTAAATGTCCATTGAAGGATGACTGGATAAGGAAAATGTGATATATACACACAAAGGAACATTACTCAGCCATAAAAAAGATGAAATCCTGCCATTTGCAGCAATATGGATGAGCTTGGAGAAAATTATACTAAGTGAAATAAACCAGGCACAAAAAGAGAAATACCTCATGTTCTTACTCATAAGTGGGAGCTAAGATACAAAGAAAGAAAAACCATAATAAAACTTGAACTTTCAGAAGGAGAGAACAGACCTGTAGTTACTAGAGGTGTGAAAAGGGGAGGAGGATGGGGGATAAGGAGTAATTGGGTAAGGGACACGAAAAGTAATTATGATTTGTAATAATGAACATGTTAATAGTATTGATTTGATCATCACATACTGTACACAAATAATGAGAGTCAACTAATTTGCATATATTAGGTCACAGATATACACTGATAACAAACTAATGAATTAGAAAATAGCACAACTGTTGAATCCCAGAATTACTGTGTAATAGCTGGGGGACTTTGGGAGAAAAAAACAGGAATTAAGATCACTGTTTCAAGATATGTCATATTAGAAGGATGGGCTTATTCCAATAGTCTTAGAAATATAATATGATGAATTTAATATAGAGATAAATATTATGTCCTATGTTTAAGTTTTAAAAGCCCAGTATTAATAAGAAACAAGAATTATATATTATATAGCATTGGTTAAGTTTTTAAAACATGTATATCAGTGGTGTTCCATTAAGTCTCAGATTTTTAAATCTTACTGAAATTGTTAGAATAGTAAACTAATTTTAGGCTACTTTAACTTTAAAAAATAGTGTCCAGAATCAAGAAGTTAAGAGGTCTACACAGCTTTTTACTAATTACATTATGCTCTGAAGTATAATGACGATGATTTACAGTCACCACACTTCCAGCTGACAGAGGTTGTGTCAGGATAGTACAATTTAACATTGTTTCATGGGAACAACAGAGGAACCTAGGGGAGGGAGTACAGGGTGTTTAATCTAAAATGAGTGGACAGGGGAGTAAAAGATAGACTTTTGTCTTAAACAGGCTTTTTTGGTTGGAAGTGACTAAAGCCTACTGCAATTGATAAAAATATCTCAACTGATAAGATTATCTCTACCTGATAAGAATATCTCTAAGAGCAGGAAGTGCAGCTATGCCTCTCAAAGGACCAGAACTAAGAAGTAGAACATTATTAAGGAATCAAGTGGCTTTTTCCTCCCCTATCCAGTGCTCTTTTCCTTGTGACTATGCATGTGGCCTAACATGGCCTTCCCAATCCCAGCTTTACGTTATCTCCCAGTTCAAGTTCCTAACAGAGGTTGACAAATATCTGTGTCCCACTCCCAAAATCTTGGAAGAGAATATGATTGACCAGCTACACTCTATTTTCTATCTTTGTTCCAGTTATTTTTATCCAGGGAGAAGAAAGGTTGTATAGTTCAAAACATAGCTGCAGAAACCCAGGAGGGTAGGAATCAAGGGTGGGTGGCAACCAAGAGGGGCAGACGGTCCCAACTGTCCAGTGCAGAATCCGTGGACAATTCGAATGGCATTATTGAAGAGAAATTATGTTTGGAGGAGGGAGCAGGGGTCTTAAAGAGCAGGCTTCTGGGAATCTACTTTAGTTCAACATAAGAAAACACTTATTAGAGCTTTACCAGATTGGAAAGGCTATTTTAGGTTATTAGGTTCCTCATCCGTTGTGGGTGGAAAGACCATTTGTCTTATTTCTAGGACAAATGTTAGATGGGAGAATGGTTTAGTTGACCTGTGAAGTTCCTTCTAAGCCTGAGAGTAAAATCAGTTTTGTCATAAGTTATTTCCAACAAAATCATAAAATATTAACATTGTTCTTATAAATATGTATGGTATCTCTTAAACCAGGGAAAGCCGAGTGGGCAGTGGTAGCTGCAGAACTTCTGTTTAAGTTCGGTAGTGTAGGAGTGACAGTACAGTGGCCAGGGGGACAGGGGCAAAGGCTAAAGGCATCTCCTTGAAGCTTCATTTATAAAGCAAGTTGTATTAGTTAGCTTCTGTGGAGTAACAAACCACCCCAAAGTTCAGTGGCTTAAAACAATGACCATTTATTTAGTTCTTGCTTTTGTGGGTTGGCGGTATCACCTGGGTGGTTTTCTGGCCTCTTCCCCATGTCTGTTGTCAGCCATTGGTTGGTTGGAGGCTGGCTGGTCTGCGATGGACTGACGTGTCCACATGTCCGTATCCCGGGCAGCTGGGCAAAGTCCTAAGAGACAGAGTGGATGCATTCAAGGCTTCTTGAGGCCTAGATTCAGAATTGACATGTGACTTCCACCGAATTCTGTTGATCAAAGCAAGTCTCAAGAGCATCTAAATTCAAGGGATCTGGAAATAGACCCTGTCCCTTGACCAGAGGATACGGGAAGTTACATTGCAAAGAGGGGTGGTATAGGAAGGGGAATAGTTGTCGCCTTCTTTGCAAAGAAGTGTGGTAGATTTACCACACTAAGCACACTGTTTTAATATTTCACAGATCAATAAAAGAAGCATTTTTTAGAAGATGCTTTTATTCACTCCTTACATATTGAAAAATCACAGCTCCCACTACAAGTTGGCTGTTTACCTAATTTAGACAATGAATCCAGTAGCTGAAAGGTAGATTTTGTTCTTGTATTCAGTTATTTATTGAGTTGGTGTCTGGGGTAAAGTTATGGGTTATAGGGCCGAGCCCGTGGCGCACTCGGGAGAGTGTGGCGCTGGGAGCGCTGCAGCGCTCCCACGGCGGGGTCGGG